CAGATTTCGTTACACGATCTTTTGAGGCTGAGGATTCTGATGCTGGATGCCAATTCCTGCCCATTGCCTTTTTTATAGGTTTTTAGGTCCTAAAAATCCGTTCCCTGTTCATCACATAAACAAACAAAACTCACACTCACACCACCAACCACTGCTTAACGACCCTGCAGTCAAATGAACTAGTTGTAAACTACCTCACAACTAGTATGAATCTCATGCCCAACTAGTCAGCCAACTATCTTTTTTCCATGCAATCAACTGGTATTTTTAACATGGGGATGTCCTACAAGATGGCAATTGTCAGATTTCGGTCAGAAATATACCAGTCTCATACTAGTTCAAAACAGACAGAAAAGTACTAGTCCAATTATTACGGTTGCCAGACGTACTGATTTTATCAGTACAGTACTGATTTTTTAACTCTTGTACTGATTTTATTAATTTCTTCAATCAGTACGCTAATGTCCTGATTTTTCAAAATTTGCACTGATTTGTACTGAATTTTCTATTCAAACAGAATACTTTAGTATTTTCTTAAGGTTTTTATATTCAACAATTTATATTGAAAATTTATTGTGGAAAAGCAACAATAATTCGAAAAAATGGTAGAAGTGATAGCTATTTCGGAAATCACCATATTTCCTCATCAGACTTCTTTCAGTAGGATTCGAACCGACGATCCCACTGACTCAGCCAGTTGCCTATGCACCGTGTCAAGTACGCCTTGTAAATTATCGTGTGCTTTTTTCCACTATTTTCATTTTTGTTATGCCAACACAATCAAGCGCATTTATTCCGTTGCAATTCACTTGATCATTTGGCTGTTGGTATTGTTGGTTTTTGCTAATAATTCTATTTTAGAATGTTTAACTTTTAGGTGTGCTCTTCCTTAAGTTATTTGTTTTTGTTATTTTTTTTTTTGGCCTTATAACAATTATATTCAACAATTTATATTGAGCTCGAGGCCGTTTTTTAAATGAAAATTTATTGTGGAAAAGCAACAATAATTTGAAAAAATGGTAGAAGTGATAGCTATTTGGGAAATCACCACATTTCCTCATCAGACTTCTTTCAGTAGGATTCGAACCGACGATCCCACTGACTCAGCCAGTTGCCTATGCACCGTGCTAAGTACGCATTGTAAATTATCGTTTGCTTTTTTCCACTATTTTCATTTTTTTTATGCCAACACAATCAAGCGCAGCTATTCCGCTGCATTTCACTTGATCATGTGGTTGTTGGTATTGTTGGTTTTTGCTAATAATTCTATTTTAGAATGTTTATCTTTTAGGTGTGCTCTTCCTTAAGTTATTTGTTTTTGTTATTTTTTTTGGCCTCATAACAATTATATTCAACAATTTATATTGAGCTCGAGGCCGTTTATTAAATGAAAATTTATTGTGGAAAAGCAACATTAATTTGAAAAAATGGTAGAAGTGATAGCTATTTCGGAAATCACCACATTTCCTCATCAGACTTCTTTCAGTAGGATTCGAACCGACGATCCCACTGACTCAGCCAGTTGCCTATGCACCGTGCTAAGTACGCCTTGTAAATTATCGTTTGCTTTTTTCCACTATTTTCACTTTTGTTATGCCAACACAATCAAGCGCAGCTATTCCGCATACAACGAAAAGATCAATCGTTTTATGGGCATATCGCCGGGTCGTTACGTACCAGTTGCGACAATATGATGGAGCTTAAATTATTTAAAAAGAAAGTTCAAATTTTTATCGAGGGTTTTTAAGTAACTCGAAAATAACTTTCAGTTTAATAACAATAAATTTCAATATTCGAATGGCTTTTGCCTATAACTTACAAGACCTTTTTCTCAATTTACTGACTGTAAAAGAGTTTTGCATACAAGACATAGAGTTAGATACTCTTTTTAGCGAATTCTTAGTCTTTCACAGTTTTTGCATAGTTGAAAAATTATTAAAGCCATGAGGAAATATAGAATGAGTATGAGAGGATCTTAAGAGTAACGTTTGTTTCCTGGCGCAGAGAGAAACCGGCTTCTAATTAAAATTTTTGATAGTAAACTTCAAATTAGAAGTAATTTTAAAATGAAATGTATAGAATTCTTTGACTATTTAAACACTGAAAATGGAAATGATCTCATTATTGCTATTAAAAAATTTCATAAATATAAAATAATTTATTGGCTCCTGTGTACGATGATGTGTACACTCATGTTAAAATGAATAACATTTTTATATTTTATGAACTACTAGTGATGCCGTATGGCGTTTTTATCTAAAATATTTTTTTTATAAAAAAAAGGTATTTTTTCCTTTTAAATGTTTTTTCTCAGATTTATACATACGAAGTATACAAATTGCATATCACAAGAAAGCGGGTTGAAATATAAGATTTTAAATTTTTCAAAGACCCGACCTGTAGCACCTGTAACATAGAAAAAGTTATATATCGTTTAAATAAGAGAAAAGGGTGTACAACGACTATGTTTTTACTTTCTTTAGTAGTTTACATACAGTAATTTAAAATAATTTTTTACCAAAGGTCCAATTTCGAACTTCGAACTGAGAAATTACTTAGCTATGACTCAATCTCTTAAAAAAAATCGGTTTGGTCCAATACCCAGAAAAAAAATTGATTTTGCCGTACAGTGTTATTGCTATTCAAAAAGTCACAAATATAAAATAATTTATTGGCTCCTGTGTATAATGATGTGTACACTCATTTTAAAATGAATAAAACTTTTATTTTTTATGAACTATATTTTATTTATATACCAAAATATTGTTAAAAACAAGAACTCAGGCGTTTTAAATTATTTTCTGTTGCTTACATTCATAATTTTGCTTTGAATAAAAACGTACTGAGAAGTACTGATTTTTTTAGCATGAAAAAGTCCAATGTACTGATTTCGCGCATAAAAAATCTGGCAACCCTACCAATTATGGACCAAAACCGCTACTTTGGAAGTCAAAAAATTAAATGAATTCATGAATATACAATGAAAGACTTTTGATTAAGTACACTTTAAAATATTACACATTTTTATTTAGCAGCCTTAGATTTGCCAATAATTAGTGTAAAATTTTTTGAGTATTAATTAAAAGGAAAAATAAATACATAAATATTTCAAACATTCGAACATAAATTTAAAGGCATTTTCCATTAATCGATATTAAAAGTAAAAGCTTTCAGGTACAGTAAATGCTATATTTTTATCTTTTTTTAAAAATATGGAAAAGAAAACATTTTAGTTAAAAATAAAACGAATACCGTAGTTCATTTTGAGTGAACTAAAATAAAAATAAGAGTTTTCATTAAAATAAATTAAATTCGTTAACTTTGCACATTTCAGTCCTTTCGTTTTAAAATTTGTTTAAAGTAATAATTAGTGTTTAAATAACTTTGCACATTTCAATCCATTCGTTTTAAAATTTTTTTAAAGTAATAATTAATGTTTAAAATTGAGATTTGGATAAGAATAAAGTAAATAAATCATTCAAGTAGTTGATAAATATTCCTAATTTTTGTCTATACTTTGGCTTGTTGATTGATAATTAAAATTAATCAAATAATTATATTAATTTGTAATTAAAAAGAGTCAAAAATAATTGAAATTGATCAAAAATAACAAAATAATGATGTAATTAAAATTAACGAATTAATTAAAAAAATTTTGTTTAAGTAATTATTAATCATTAAAAAGGTGCTTATATCGGTATTTAACCATTAAACGGTTATTCAAAAAAACATGTTTTAATTAATAATCATTATGAGTATTAATCATTATTTAACAAGTATGGTATAATTACGAGTACGTACTCGCTTTAACGGTTTACAATATACCCAAATAAAAGTTATAATATTTTGTGTACTCTATTGTGTTCAACTGTCGAAGTCAAATAAAACAGGGCATGATTACATAAATCGTTTTGTACTGGGTACAAGTCTGGTCATTTTCGAACTAGTTCGGTTTCAGTCAGGAAATTCTAGTTGTAAACTAGTATTTTTCCTGACTAGTTTGGCGTATCACTGCAGGGGATCGTTTCAACTCAACAGCGGCGCTAGACTCGAGTTATGGGATTTGTTTTTTTTTATAATATGTATTTATTTATTGAATCTTTCTTTCGAAACTAACAATAAGTTTTCAAATCTTACAAACTACCATTAAATTTAAAACTTCTGCGGTAACGCTTAGAATTTTTTTATTTTTCCATACATATACAAGTTAAGGACTGAAGGTCCTGAACAACAAAAAAAATTAAAGGGTCAATTTGCCCTGGAATTAAAAGAGGTAATTTAAACGTTATAATAAAAGGTCTTTATTGAGATAAATAAATAAGCCTAATTGACTATAGTAACACCCCGATGAAACTGCCGCTGCTCCGAGTTCTGCCGCCCTTTATAACCTGTTCCGCTGCCGTTGTTCTATAGCCAGACATAGGCGACGTCAGTGAGCCGTCTTGGCCTTGAATTCCCACAGGTAACTTGGAATATGCAACACACTGATTTCAAACCGTGTGAAATGAAATTATGCTGACACCGCTGCAATGCCTAATGCATTGGCTCCGTTATACTAATGGTTGCGTAAGCATAAGCCAGAGGTGGCCGACGGTTCCCATAGGTGTCTGATAGCGTTGCATAATATTGCTATTGCATGATATGATGAAATGCACTTGGCCTTGACAAAGGTGTAGGATGTCAATTATGTTGTGAACCACAATTATGCTGACATGGCGCACGTGTATTGCCGGACTGTGGGAATGCAACATGTTGGGTGTCGGCGGATGTGTTAACTCCTCCCCCTTTAAAGATCTGCGTCCCGCAGATTAGATGGACGTTCCTCGGTTTTTGAATTAGCCTTGTTGTCAATGTTCAATGCAGGTAGGTGTATCTTCGCCGTAATCCTTCTCCAAATGTGCCAAAGCGATAACATTAGTATGACTAACACCAAACCTTCGGTGAATGCAAACCAATTGGTTTTCTCCTTGAGGTATCCCAGGAGCTTGATATTATGAGATGTCATCCCGTGTATTAGGTTAAGGTTCATTACCACACTGCGGTTAGTGACGCTGGCCAAGATTGGTGGAAGCACCTGTACTCCTGATCTACTAGTACTCGAGTAGTTTTTGCCATTGATTGCTACGGTCTCATTGTCCATCTGGAGGATATAAGAACCATTAAGTGTATTTGAATTGTTACCTGATTTTACAATCCCTATAAAATTGTCAGGGAAAATGGTATCATCCTTGATGATTTCAACAGTGGAATCGTTACAGGTGGCGTAAGTACAACTTGTTTGTCCTCCCTTGAGAAGACGAGTCAGGTCAGGATTGTTTGATATGCCAATTCTACTCGGACGCCGTTCTGTTGCGATCAGGTGATTAAATCTAGCTTCTGTGACCTTTGGTAGGGACAACACGTATAAGAGGAGTGTGTTGTTGGTGTAGATCGATGGTTTGCTATATTCAATGGCTTCGATGGCGTTGCTGTATGGAAGAACGTCGATCTCACTGACAAGCTGGTTAACTTCCTCTATACTCAGAAGATTGGTGTTGACGACTTCTGCCTTAGCCATCAGCACGGATCAGTTCGTTGACGTCTTCATTCAGGATAAAGATTTTATGCTGGACTTCTTGAGAAATCCTGTCCAAGTTCCTCTTGTTGATTACATCATTGGTGGCGACCACAATGCCATTGAGCCTCTGCAATAACTGATTAGTTTTCTTAAAAATTTTATCATTCACCTTGTATTGCTGCTCGTTATTTTTATTAAGGGAATTTTCGTTTCGGAGGACCTCATCCCAGTGCGTAGCATCAGGTGAGCCAGCAATCCATTTCCAAGCTGAGCCAATCCAGTTAATAGATCGTTTTAATCTAGCCGTCTCGTGACCTCTTAGTTCGTTTAAACGTGTGCGGATACTGCCTAGCTGGAATAGTAGTACCTCTGTAGATGCTGTTGTTTCATTTAAGGTAGTTGCCGATTTGTTGCCAGTTCGAATCGTTCCAAATTTACCACATGAATTAGCTTGAAGTGTCCATCGATGATCCATCCATACCCATCTCGTATGGTTACTAGGGGTGAGTCTATCTTGAATAGGTCATATGAAAGCGCAATGGCGCAGATGCACGTGCTACGGATTAGATTAATACATTAGTCTACTAATGGTTTATTACCCATACCCACGTTATTATAGTGACTCTACAATTCAAAGTTTTAATTCTAAAATTCGTCTTAGCCATATCTTTTTTGCATTATTATATTTTTTATTCTACTCAAAGTCTTAATTCTAAATTTCGTCTTAATCATATCCTTTTTCTCTTAACTATTCTACTCATTTAACTAGTTATCTAACTTTATGTTTTTAATTAACCTAAGATCCTTATTCTAGTTTTGAGTTGCATGGGGTGAATAGTGACAAAATTGAGAGATTTGCATGTTCTTTTGTTATTGTTTATTTTCTTAGGGAACCCAGTAGTGAAGTAGTTAATTGTGTTAATTGTTAATTAATTAGTGGTAAGTGTTTAATGCGATAAATGAAAGTTAATTGTAGTAATAAATTTCATGCAATCTTGTTTCCCCTTTTTTTGTGAGAATTCACTTTCTCCATTTTTTATTTGTTTAGCATTTGCATTTGCATCATATTTGCATGTTCTTTCATTTTTCTTTAATTTTTTATTTTTGGAGATTATTCTTCTATACATTTGTTACTTTTGCGTACTTATTTAGCAGAATGTGTATTTATGGTTTTTTGCATCGGACTATAGGTATTATTTGTCTATGGAAGGTCCGCGTTGGTCCCTTTTAGTCATAAGCGTTTATAATTGCAAATTACCTACTCATGGCACGGGTGGCTTCACGCAAATAAGCAGAAGATTACCGTGGGGGAGTTGAACCACCTCGAATCTGCCATCTCACACCACTGAGCGAGGTGGAATTGAACCACTATGACTTCATCGACTACAAACGCATAAACGCTTGCATTCCGAACCGCCGGATTCTAGTAATCTTAAGCTTCTTATTAACCTTTTGTCTAATGTTATCTTACACATTTTTTATATCTGCTTTGTGGAATTTTTTCCCACTTTCAGTTACTATTGTCGCATTTCTATTTTCTGCGATTGTTTCTTATTTAAATAGAGGCTATTGTTTCCCCTTTATTTGTCTTTTTGCTATGAACAGAGTATCGCCACTATTATATTCTTTGGGTGGCGAGCGTTCTGAATTGATCCTTGCATTTCTAGCTTCTTGTTCATGTAGTAACAAAGCTTTGATATTCTCATGCGTTTGATCCCTAAAGTCCCTTAAGCCTTGGTAGTTTACCCTAGCTGTTCTGTTAAAGAATATATCTACCGGTTTCCTTTTTGTTATGGGATGGATGGTATTGTTGTACCTATCTACGACTATCGCTACCCTCTCTTTGGGAGTCATCCTAGGAAAGTCGTTAGATATGCACCACGATGTAGGAAGACAGAGGTGGCGCAATCAGCAATACCGCTACTTTGTTCTTGGCGAATTTGACAGAATCAGCTGTTCGTGTGACGTCATTTTAGCAAACTGTTTGTATGTATGCAGAGATGTTTATATGTAAGTAAATATGGCGACCTCCATGGTTTGACAGTTAACACTTGTTTTCTCCTCTATCTCCAATTATTCTTTCCTTTATCTACACTATTCCTTGCTATCTTGACGTCATCACCCGCAGGAATGCGCAATCTTGTATTATATCATTCTTGGATATGCACAAATAAATTTCAATCAAGGTTGAATGTAACCTTTCTACCTGGCCATTGGCTTCACTCCGCTGGGTGGGCGTCTGGTAAATTTCAATCCCGAGAGATCTAATGTAATTGAGAACGAGTGGAGTTAGGAATCCCCTCTCATTGTCCATGACCAATATTTGGGGCACGGAAAAATAATGTAAAACTTCAGTAAGTTTCCTTCGGATATAAATGGACGACTTATTTTTGATAGCGAATAATTTTGCGAATTTTGAAAACTTGTCCACACAGCTCAGAAACTTCTATTTCTCAATCTCAAAAATATCTATGTGAATGATCTCGCATGGGTAGCTGGGAATCAGTGTCGGTTGGAGGTGAGGCTTAGCCGGATGCCTGTCATATTTATTAAGCTTACACACTTCGCACTGCCTAACATAATCCCTAATTTGTTTTGACATACCTGGAAAGTAGTACTTTTCTAGAATCTGCTCTCTATTTTCCTGGGGATTCCTGTGGGCTCTGCGATGCTCTTCCTCGATTATATCGAATATTCTATCAGGGATGGTCACGTCTTCCACTAGGCGCTGAGTTATCCGGATCCTATACCCGTGGAAATTATTAGCATACACGTTTGGCAGTGATTGGAGAAATTCCTCAGGAATTTTTATGCCATTTATAACATTAGGATTAAGGCATTCTTTGAGAATTGGAATAACGTTTGAACTGTTGATATTTGGTAAAGAAATAAAATATCTGCGGTAGCCATGATGCGGTTGCTCATGGCATCGAGATTCCTGACCTACTCTAAATATCACCTGATTCCTAAAGACGTTTATGGGGGCCTCGACGTGTGGTATAAGATCGGAATTATCCTGTTCAGCGGAGTGCATTGTTGCTACCTCATCACTATTTCCTATTTCGCTTCCTGACCACAGAATCCGTTAAGGCGTTGAGTTCAGTCTTAAGACGGGAAAGAGCATCCGCGACCACATTAGCCTTCCCTGGCTTATAAATTATTTCACAGTTATATTCTTCGATGCGTGCTTTCCATCTCTTTAGTTTTGCATTATAATTGCGACAGCTTAAGGAAAATGTTAATGGTTGGTGATCAGTATATGTTCTTATCTTTTTGGCACCGTACAAATACGACCTCAAATTATCTAATGCCCACACTATGGCTAGCATCTCCTTTTCATTCGTAGCATAGTTTTCCTCGGCCTTGTTCAGGGAGCGAGAAATATATGCAATTGGTTTGTCCGTACCTATATCCCCCTGGGATAGAACTGCACCAATTGCGTAGTTCGACGCATCTGTGGTCAAATTAAAAGGCTTACCAAAATCAGGAAATGCCAGGACATCAGCGGAAGTTAGCATACGTTTTAGGTAATCTATTTTCCTCGATGCACTGGCTTTTATTTGTGCATTTTTCCCGCGCGTTAGATTTGTCAATGGCTTAGCTATTTTTGCGTAGTCACCAACGAACTTCCGATAGTAGGAGGTCATTCCCAAAAAACTTTTCAGATCTTTCAAATTGCATGGTGGCAAAATTAGATTCATAGCCTGAACCTTTTTTTGGGTCAGGACGAACTCCTTCGCGAGTGATGATGTACCCCAAAAATTCAACTTCAGTTTGCAGGAAGCAGGTTTTTTCTAAATTCACTTTTCGATTGGATTCCAACAATCGAGAAAATACCATTTGGACATTCTTCAAATGATCGTCAGCATCCTTACCAAACACAGTGATATCGTCGATGTAAACATAGCAGATTTTACCGATATATTGTTTCAGTACATCGTCCATCATACGCTGGAAGATGGCTGGCGCGTTCTTGAGGCCAAAAGGCAATCTCAAAAATTCGTATTTACCGTTCATGGTCGAAAAAGCAGTCTTAGATATGCCGGATTCCTTCATAGGGATTTGGTGGAACCCAGAAGTTAAGTCAATGGTCGTGAAGTAACGGGAGTTTCCAAGGCTACACAAAGTAGCGTTTATGTCAGGGATAGGATAGGTGTCGGGAAGCGTTACAGCGTTAAGCCTTTTGTAGTCAATTACCATACGGTACTGCTTCTCCCCATTTGGTTTAGGTATCTTAGGAACCACCCAAATAGGAGAGTTGTATGGACTCTTTGATGGTCGGATAACTCCATCTTGCAGCAATTCGTCCACCTGCCGGTCGACCTCTTCTCTCATGCAAGAAGGATAAGGATAGCTTTTGCTATAAACTGGTTCAGAAGTTGACGTTTTAATTTCTGCGCGTACGCAAGTGTACTAATTCGTTCCCCTTAATAGGTAGGAAAAGGTTGCTAAATTTAGCTACTAGTTTGTTCACTTTTTCCTCCGTTTCAACAGGGATGTCCTTAGACAAGATATAATTCACTTGGGTGGATATGCGAGCCTTCAGCGGGATTTTAAATTCGTTAACCTTTAGAATATTAGATTTTCTGTCCACTATCGCACCAATATCCCTAAGTGTATCGTCCCCTATGATTCCGTCAAATGAGGTTAATCCTGGGAGCACAAAGAAGGTTATGTCAGAGTCTTAAACAAATTCAAACTTAGTTTTTTCTGTATCGGGATACTTCCGCCTGCTGATCTTACGGTAAAGGATCTGTCGACTGGTTTGCCTTGCTTGACAACCGTTTGCTTAATGAAGTTTTTATTGGCACCAGTGTCGACAAGAAAATCTAAGGTGCGGCCGTCAAGGAGTACGTACTCTAAGTAAGGTACGCTAGATGGCCGTTGGATAAAAAATTCTCCTCCTGTGCCTCCTGTGAAGTCTGCAAGTAGTTAGTCACTTCGTCATTGCTATCGTCCGTCTCTATGTTGAACAGCTTTTGCTGTTTTCGTGGAAGATTATCTGATCTTGCACCTCGTTTAAAGGGATTCGGTCTATTCATGTAGTTCACTTTGCGCGATTGGACCGACTGGTCCACGTCCATCTTCTCGACGGGTGGCTGAGAGGTTGACGGAGGATCTCGCCTAGGAGTAATGTGTCCAACTCGTTTTTCAAGGCGATATCGTCGCTCTTGGGGACGCCATGTTGTCCTTGGTGGAAGTGGAGGCGCCTTGTTACCATCCAAACCATGCATGCGATCTGGCATGGTATTCATCGGTGCGACAATGCGGTTATTAAACCGTGCAGTGTGTACCGTGTAGTTCCTCAAATTTGTATTCTGTATCTCGAGGCACCTTGAGTATGCCTCAGGTAGATTCTTAGGACGCTGAACCAGGAGCATCTTTGAAAGATCCCCATTCAATCCACGGATGAACACATCAAGCGCACGATTTCTGTACGTATCTATTAGTACCTGCACTGTCTCCTGAGAATATTTCTCAGTTTTGAGTTTATTTATAATTAAAGAAAATTGGTGATTCACGGTTCCATAGAAGTCATCGAGCCGCGAATCCTTTTGGGAGAGTTGGTGGAGTTGGTACTCCAAGGTGCGTATGTCGCGTTTGTCGGCGTAATGGAGTGATAGACACTCCATCATGGCAGTCCAGTCAGCGTCAAAAATGCTATAGGATATGAGGGCAGTATCGGCGGGTCCTCGTATCTTTTGTCGAATGTGCTGTAAAATCGCACGATAGATTGGCTTACCCTTTACCAGCTCGAAATCAGTAAGGATGCTCTCGACAGCATGCACCCATGACACAAACATATTTGGATTACCGTCGAACACCTGTAGCTCCTTCACAGAGTCTGGAAGTCTCGAGATATCCCTAAGTTCCGCCTCCGTTGCTGGAGCTCGGGGCTGAACTTGTACTTCTGCTTCCACTCCATTTAGCTGCGGAGTAGCAGCTTCTATCAAAGCGATCCTATTTTGAAGTGTGTCCAAGCTTGATACACGCCTCTCTATCCCATTCAGCTGGTCCATAAGTGCGTTAACTGCACCAGTCAATCTCGTTACGTTGTCCTGAAGCGAATCCATCCTGGAAATAAACAAGGAAAAGTATGCAGACGAAAAGTGGGTATTTTTACTCACAACACTTCAAGGATCATTTATTTGTCACTTGATTATTTTTTGATTAGTTTCACTTAAGCACTTTAATAGCTCTTTGATATCTTGTTTACTGGCTTCTTTTTAGATAGCCTTTTAGCTAATTTTTATTTTTCACTTTTATTTGGTATAACTTCTTTCCACTTTTCACAATCACTTAATCACTGATTTGATTATCCCGATTTTATTTTACTACTAACACTACTGGTCCCTGCTCGGGCGACAGTTAAGGACTGAAGGTCCTGAACAACAAAAAAAATTAAAGGGCCAACTTGCCCTGGAATTAAAAGAGGTAATTTAAACGTTATAATAAAAGGTTTTTATTGAGATAAATAAATAAGCCTAATTGACTATAGTAGCACCCCGATGCAACTGCCGCTGCTCCGAGTTCTGCCGCCCTTTATAGCCTGTTCCGCTGCCGTTGTTCTATAGCCAGACATAGGCGACGTCAGTGAGCCGCCTTGGCCTTGAATTCCCACAGGTAACTTGGAATATGCAACCCACTGATTTCAAACCGTGTGAAAATTATGCTGACACCGCTGCAATGCCTAATGCATTGGCTCCGTTATACTAATAGTTGCGTAAGCATTAGCCAGAGGTACTAACTGTGGCCGACGGTTCCCATAGGTGTCTGATAGCGTTGCATAATATTGCTATTGCATGA